CTTCATTGCTATTATTGTTACTTTAATTTATGAACTTTCATAATGACAATAGTTCAATTATTATGCAAAACACTCAATATAAATTGTCTTGAGCTTACTGATAATCTAATTCCTGCTAAATAATTTAATAATACCAGAGAGATTAATTTTATAAAAAAAATTTATTCTTATTTATAAGTATTTTGTAATTTAATATTAAAGAAACAACGCAAATCATGAGTATTGTGATATATATATATATATATATATATCACAATACTCATGATTATACATATATGATCTACACTCATGATCTATATATATATATATATATATATATATATATATATAGATTGAATACTTTCAGGTATAAAGAGGCAACACTTAAGAATTTCATATGAACACGATAGTTTTTTATTTATTTATTATTCGTCGATATATATGTGCCAATTTATTTATAATTAACATAGTAAAATTTAATGTATTCGAGAAATAATAAATATAAACTTAATTAGCCGTAATTTGGCATTTGTTTAAACTACGTGAGATCCTGCGGAGCCAAGTGACGGAATAACGTACGATATAATGATCGGCAAATGCAAGAATCTGGTCGTCGTCACACGATCTTTTTTCTATAAAACTCACGCTTTTCTATAAAATGTCTGCGATATTAGCCTAATAATCCGCTTCGATACATATGATTTTGGTAAAATCCCTAGCGGATATTGTAAAATTGTCGAAGCACGGAGAGCAGCCGCTTGAATTCGCACGATATCGAAGCTGGACCGCCGTTTCCTTAACAAGCTTTCATTAACGAGACGTAGCGCGGATATAAGGATATAAGGAGCCCGACGGCCGCGTGTCAATGCGCCCAGCCAGGCTCCGCTACTCGCGGTCGAGTCGAGCCGAGCCGACGAAGTCAGCGAGGTGTCGAAGGCGGCGGCGGCGGCGGCGGCAACGGCGGCTGACGCAGTGGCGGTAAATCGCCCGTCGGCAGTCGGTCTGAAAATGCAAGTGGAAAATCCAGCGAATCATGGCCACGGCGATTACTCACGCGACATCGCACTTATCGTTGCTCATACTATTTTATATGTTTTCTTTTCATTACCAGGAATTTGACTTTGACGGTGAGCGGCTCCTACGATTTGGCGGGGCTAATATACGTTTAGACTGGACGTAAGGATCGGCTGAAGCTGCAAGGACGGTTGTAACGATCGATGCGGGTTGGGATGTTCAGGCTCTCCGCGAGGATAAATTCAAGATTAGTCATCGCGATTGGCGTGGTATGGGAAAATGACGATGTCCTTTTCCACGAAGGAGCTTTTTATTTTATTGTTTTTCTTTTTCTCAAAAGATAGAGCGTCAGACAGAGAGAGAGAGAGAGAGAGAGAGAGAGAGAGAGAGAGAGAGAGAATCGTGGAATGTTTGTTCTTCCATTTAAAAGGATGAGAGCTTTAAAAAAAATACTTATTTCGTCGAAAAAGCAAATATACTTGTTCTACTTAGCACGGAAATAAGAAATTTCTATTTCATTTAGTTGATTGTATCTTAATTTAAAATTATTAGAGGTTTTTTTTACCTAAGGAACAATACTGCAAGCATTCAAAAGAATTAAAAACTTTATTTGTTAAGAAAGTTAAATACATTATATTATAAATCTCTACATTATGAAATGAGATGAAACAATCTAGTATATGGAAAATTATTCTATTTTGTATATTAATGCATATATTATACGATATATTATATGAATATATTATACGATATTAGAAAAATACTATTAAACAATTTTATCCATTAATTGACATACGTGTTTATAAAAATATATTTATTATTCGTTATACTTGCGCGTGTGTATATATACACGTATGTATATGCTTATAAAAATATTGATCGCACCTAACGAATTCTATATGCATTGTATTTTCAACGAGGCATTTTTGTCACGGTTTCCATATTTCAAAATGCTTGTTGATTAATAGAAGTTGACTACCCAAAATTGATATAATAAAGAAAATAATAAACTAGTGATGAATGTGGAGAATTTTAATTAATCCACTGTTTTGTTTGCTTAAATTTCATTGACAAATACGAAATGTTTTGGAATAAAAAAATTAACGGTATTACTGCTAAGGAAGCGATTTACAAACAATACATTTTCTCCTAATAATTTCAAGGATATTTACATATTTTTACGTAAATCGTAATGATTTTATTCTTTTTCACATAATTTTTAATTTGAGCATGAAAAATTTTCGATTCATAATTTACATTTTTATTTAATCAATGATTAAAGTTAAAATTTGTAAATAAAATTATTTAGCATTTACAAATCACAAATGTAATAGTTATAAGTGATTTTTTTCTTGTCATTATATGATAAAATCTAATAAAATTAACTAACGCGCAAAAACTTATATAAAATTTTTTGATAAGTTTGATATAGTTATATTAAGTTATTTTATTTTACTATTTTATTTCAAATTGTAATGGAAAAATATGTTGTCGTTCGCAATTCTTAATAAACTTCTTTAAAATCAAAAATATAATTGAGATTAGCGTTTTTATGTTAGAAATATTATTTGTTATATTCGATTGATTTCATGAGCCTGAATAAGAAAAAATTAAAAACATAATAAAAGAATTATATTAATAATATTTGACTATAAAACAAATTAAAATATTAAATTATGAATAATTTTAAGTGAATTTTAAAATATTTAATAACCCGATGATAATCGATTATTAGAAATTACTGTAATTATTATATTTATAAGAAGACTATTTTTCATTTGTTAATTGTATAATATAAAGTTCACATTTTCCATTACTCTAAAAAAGAAAAATATATCATAGTGGATTGCCTGAATAATAATAAATTGATAATAAAGTAATAATATCGATCAATGTGTGATGTGAGAAAATCTCTCTCAATCGAAATGTAAATCAAGTATAGCAATAAGCAAATAACATCTTATTATTCGAATGAATTTGATGTATTAATTTTCTTTAAACAAAAGAGTCTTCAATGATATTATGAGTTTATATAAACTACTCAAAATTTCTGTACAATAAGTCTTGTCACACATTTTAATTTATCTATCTTATTTAAATTCTCGAATTATTTATATTTTATATAAAATGTTGCATTGAATAACAGCAGCAGAAAATAATTTCATATCATTAAAAGGATGTAGGTTCAATAATTAGAAATATTATCTTTTATAAGTCATAAAAATGTAAATGAAAGATTTATTCAATGAAGAATATAATTATCGTATGTGTCAATAATGTTATCGAACAAATAAATCACATTGCGCGTGTATTGTAACCTACTGTTTAAAAGTTTATCAAACTATCAAGTATATAATTTCACATTCTAGTACTTAATTTAAAAATAATATAATGATAATAATATAATATACAATATAGCAATGAATAGGATACTAATAACTATACAATATAGTATATAGTAAAATATACTAGAATAATGCATAACAGTTAAATATTAATGATTTATTTCTTTGGAGCTCGCTGTTGTAACAACAATAGCAGGAATCTTGTAAAATATTTAATACGATATTAGTTTTAATCGAATTATCTAATTTGCACGTGATTTTATTTGAATATTGCATAAGTGTCAAAATTACTACAAGTAGTTTAATGTTTTTAGCTTTTTTTGCAATTCGATTCTTCTGCTAACCTAATGTCACTTAAAACAAACATCATTTTCTAACGGATTGAAGTTATTTACTATTTACAAATAAAACTTTGATTTTTGATCGCATTTTCTGAAACAAAAAAAAAACAAAAAAAAATATAAATAAAAAATTATTAGAAAAAATTCATTATCTAACACGATATAATTTTTGCCATTAAAATAGTAATTAAATTGTAATAAAAAAGAACTCTACCGGAGTAAAATGAAATCATTTTTATTTAAACAAAGTGACTATTCAAGTGTGTATATAATACTCGCATCAAAATATATTTTGTTCGCACCACTACATAATCACGAGGCTATTGCTTAAGACATACCTCACAATCAATCAGTACATATGTTTATAATAATTTTTGCACGTCAATTGGTTATCCAATGTAAACATTTACGCAAATATTGCAAATTTACGACGAAATATTGCCTATTCATCAACCTGCCGATCGATCAGTATAAAATCCCACTTATCCTTCGACATTCGACATTAATTTTCCGAAACATTTCGAAGCCCGGAAGAGACACTCGGAGTATCATCATCAGCTGGAGGATAAAGCTTTTCAAAATTCCCCATAGTGAAGAGGATGGAGGTAGAGTAGAATGCAGGATTCGGGTATCGGCGGAGCGACGCGCACAACGTAAGCGACTTAGCCCAGGAACGAGACTCCCCAAAAGCCATGACAATAGTGTGCCGGCATCGTCGCCACCTGTGCCCACTAGCTTAGACCTATCGTCGCGCTCCCGATCATGGAAAATCATGGCGAGAAGAAGCGAGAGTGGATAAGGTGGGGGCACCCCTGACCCCGGCTCTCGTGAGACGGCGGCGCTGGCGTCCCGGTGAAGGGAGGCTGCGTTTATAATGCGCCGGCAAACCGCCCTGGGGACGCATTCGCTCGTCCGCTTCGCCCGCAGCAGACTCGGCTTGGGGAGCCTTCACCAGGAGAAGTCTCATCTTGGCCCGACCGACACAACCCTCTTTACACTCTGTCGGCCGTCCCTAGCAGCACCCGGTGGATCACACGAGCTCCGGCTGCCAGTGACCGCTTCACGTCCTCTTGGCAATTTAAGCGACTCCTCGCTATACTTAACGACCCGACTTGGTTCTCGAGACGACATATCCGCTCTGACATTATCACTGCGCCTCGTCAACAACCACAAAAAGACCTTAATACGCACGCTACCTACGGATCGTTATAATCCCACGATATAAGAGTTCGATTTTTCGTTGATAGACAAGCACCCCGCAGTGCCGCGATAGTTCGACGATCATTATTATTTTCCGTTTTTTGAGCAAGATTAAGGATTAATTGAGGATACGAGGATGGCGGTTGCTGCTGCTCAAAAGAATCGCGAGATGTTCGCTATCAAGAAATCATACAGCATTGAAGTGAGTTTTTGCAATTACATACATTACATTCGTTATTTATAAAACCTCCTTCCCCTTCACCGCCCCTTACCCGCCCCACCCCTCGCAAACCCACCCATCATCATTGGTACGAATGCGAATACGAAGATTGCCATCCGACCCATTTGCATTGGATAAAAATTTAACAATTACGAAGTTGCATTGGCTGCATTCCGATATTTCATGGAAAATTAGCCAATTCTTATGGGCAGTGATGATTATTTTAACGATATTAGTACACTGTAACGTTTCAACGCTCATCTCAATGTTCTAGAAAATAAAAATAATACGTTTCATTCTCTCTTTGCATGACGATTATTTTCAAGTAGAGAACAAATGTTTGAAAAAAAAAAAAATGCATTATTGTCAATAATCTTAAATTATTGACTTTCAATTTTCTAACATTAAACTATTTTATTCTATATTTTATCTTTTATTCAATATTCGAATATTTGAATTTTTGAATTTGAATTAAAAGCGCGAAATCCAAATTTATTAAAAACTTTGCCAATACTGTGTGGCAATTTCAATGTATTTTCGAGAAAAATTAGTTATCAGTTATTTACAATTAGAAGCAAAAGTTATATAAATATAATTGCAGTATTTCAAAATAAGATTTTCAATTTAACTTAAGTTCATCAATTTTAAACTTTCACTCGTACTGGCTGCATACAAATTTAAGTCTTTTTTCTCTCCTCAATTCTTATAACAATCACTTAATATTTCGTAATTATCTTTTGTTTTTGTTTTTTTTTGTTCTTGTTTTTGGTTTATTTTAATTTTGTAACGCATTTGATTTAATGGACAAATGTAAAATTCTAAAGAAGCAAATGGACAATAATATAGAAAACGATAGAATCAAAAGAAGATTTATCAATAAAATTTATCACGTTAATATTTCAACATTAGGCAACAATTTTATGCTAATAAATTAGATTCTTCGTTAATTATAGAGAAAAAGTAGTTCATAATCTGTCCAGACGTACGTTGAATTTTGTATATCGAGCTAGAGGATGATAAATATTTAGTTTGTAATTTAGAGAAAAATTACATCAGAAATTAAGAATTTCGGCGCAAATTGTACATTGGTTCCGGATACTTTTTTCTTTTTATGCACACAGCCTTCCTTTCTCAGTGAAATTTTCCTTACGACAGGTTGTAAACAGTAATGAGTCATATTCTATCCGAGAGAAAGTGTTGCGACTTCTTGCGTATTTATAATGTATCTTCGCATGCGTTATCCGAGACCTTGAGGGGTTGATTTATAACAATGCAAAGCGTTATTTGTAAAAGCTAACAAGACCATCACTTACCAACAGCTAATTTATTATACAACATATTACGTTATAGACAGACTAAATTAGAATGTTTTCTAGTATATCAATTTCAAATTATTAACAGGTGTGGATAATTTATTATATAAATGATGCTTTAGAGACAGTGAGCCTCTTTAATTACTCACGATAGAATTAAAAGACAAATTTTCATATTCCTTCCTATAAGAACTAATTATCTTCTATTTTCAGTATATCATAATAATTTTCGAATTTTAACAGTCTTTCAAATATTTTAGAAGTTATAATATAGTTTTATAAAATGGGATTATTAGTTTTTTCTCTACTACATTTAAACGGTGTAAAATTTTTAATGATAATTTATAAATGTTTCTCATACTGATTAAAAATTTAATGTTTTTATAATATAGTACAATGTTCAAATAATTTAGAACAATACTATTTTTTTAAAGTGAAACAATTTCAAATATATAGAAGACCATTTTTCAAAATATTGTATTAAATGTTCTTTTTACATTTATTGTGTGTTTTATATTAGTAAATCTATTTTCCTTATGGAATTTACAATTAAATTATAATTGATAATTGAAGAAAAAAATAATATATATATATATATATATATATATATATATATATATATAGTTAAAAATTTATTCTACTTTTAGGATATGAATAATATTATTTGTAGTCTTTTTTTTTTGTTTTTTTTTTGTTTTTTTGTTTTTGTTTTTGTTAATAGAGCATATTCATAATATTATGAATTAATTATTAATAGTCAATGTTAAAACAATTATAAAAGAATTTTATGTAAATTGAGAAATAATTTTTATTTATATAACAAACTTTTTTAGTTAATTCAAGCATAAATTTAATATTATATAAAACTTATCAGAAAAACTAATTAAAAAACAATTTTCTCTGTACTTGAGGGAATAAGTTATTCCAATTGAAAGAAAAAGTGTATATATGATATAATTTTGTAATGATGCAATTTTTTCACTTCTTAAGCCGATATATGACATTAATATTAAAATTTTTCGAACAATATATTTTATTAATTTATATGACTATTGTTTGTTGGATATTGAATTCGTGTATAATAATGGAGATAAAAACAATTGTAACATATATTTATTTATTTATGCTCGATAGAGTGCATTAGAAAATTTACTGGCACAAAAGGAATGTAAATTGAATATTATTTATGCAAGTAAAATATATTTACAACTTAGATCTGTAGTATAATACTATCTAATTATACCGGAAATTTCAAAGTTCTTATTTCTGTATTTTTTATTTCCTTGTTTTATTTGGAGAAGGTCCATCACAATCATCATTATCATCATCAGCTTTGCGTGACTACGTGATCTCACACGACTTACGTGGCTTAATCTTCACGACTTTCTCCACATGTCACACACAAGTGCTATCGATGGAATTCTCGACATAAAATCCGTTGGATAATTAAACAATTATTTTATTGAAATGCGTTTACTGAATATGCATTTAAGAAATTTCACGAAATACAAGTGATATTATTCTACTCTCATTACATAAATTGTAACTCATGTTTCTAAATTCACTTTCTAAAATTAACTAGTTGGTTCCTTTTCAAATATCATTCTCCTTTATTTATAAAATTTTTATACAATAATGATTAAAAATTACGTCAATTCGAATGCTTAAATTGAAAATCTAAATATTCTTAAAGATTTTTGACAAGACTTTATATCAAATAGTGTGTAAACTAAAGTTAATTTTTATTAATTTACGTTTGTATTTCTGCATCGAGTAGAGACAATTAATAAATCTTCCGATGGAAATATAATTAATGTTATTATTCTCTCTCTCTTTTTTTTTTTTTTTTTTTTTTTAAGAACAGAGATATATATTTTATTTGAAATAAAGCGAACAGAGCATAATTGAATAAAGTTTTGGAATCGAAAGACCATATGCCTGTATTATTATAACGCATTAGGTTAAGTTTAATTTTTCGTTTTTTTTTGTTTTTGTGTTTTTTAAATTTCTCTGATAGCGAGTCTTCAGAAGCTCCTAGACTTGTAATGATATACACAAGCATTATTCATCAATGTATCCGAACTGAATTCATTATCATAAAATGTTTATTTCCATTTGAATGCTCCTTTGCCATAAGATTTACTTCCTTTTATCCACGACCAATGATTATTAAATTATCGATGAAAGAAAAGAAAAACGAAAAAAACGAAAAAAACGAAAAAAACGAAAAAAACGAAAAAAATGAAAATGTTTAAAAAACGAGAGAAGAAGTACGGCTACGCCGGAAGTGCGTTCTCACTCAAAAGAAAGAGTTGCGTCTTTTTTCAAGACATAAAGCGATTCAAGGCATACCTAAAAACGAGTTTCCAAGATCAGATGTTCGATTCCGTTTAAATGCCTAAAGTATATGACTCGAACGAAACGTACTTCATCGAATAATGTGAATACGTGCGTCGGAGCGCGTGCGTCATTATTGGTATTACCATTATTATTATACTTTTCATCATTACTATTCATTAGTCTCTTTTCTCAATCATTTCTCAATTAGCTATTTCACTTTAACGCTAGTTTTACGCGCCGATATGCTACAGCCTACGAACACAATGATGCTGCGTATCTTCTTACCTCGGATAAATTGATTTGTTAGGCCTTTAAAGAGGTTAAAAGAGAACTTTTATCTCCTTTAAAAATATTAAATTGTAGGACTGTTAATGAGTCGATTGGTAATTATGTTGACGTAGGCGTGCGTGGGGGTGAACATAACGAAGAATTGTCAAATCGCTATTATCATAAATCTTTCCAATGCGTTCACTACGTGTAAAATGCCACGAGCTATCAAAGAATTTTAATACTATTTATATAAAGTGTATTAAGCGAAGAAAACTGCTTGTGTTAATTGACTGAATCATTGAATAAATTATTAATACAAATTGAGCCTATCGTGTAATTATATATTAAAGAAAAGGACTCGATGCAGAAGCATAAACTTTGAGCCCGAGATATGCATCACCATCTGACGTCTCGCTCATATAGAAAATAAGTCCTCGTTCATTATCTAATGCCGCTGCAGCACAAAGCACAAGGGTAAAACACTCAGATGAGTTTCAAAACGGACTGTTCTTGCGCAAATTGGCACATTTTCTTTTTTTCAATTCTTGCTCATTTTGCAAAACATTATCTACTTAATTATGATAATAAATTATATTTACACGCGTAAAGTACTATATAATTAGAAACGTTATAAAGCTAATTAGCATCGGTCGAATGATAATGATACACATACAGTGTAACAAATTCTTAAAATCTTACAGGATCTCGGAAATCAATACTCTTCCCACCTACCGACAAAGCTGATATTTCAATTCGATAGATAGCCAC